TATCTCAGCCCACTTCTAGTTCTAAAAGACTATAGAATATTTCTTAAAATAAAATAGCTACTTCCTGGGCCTTGGGCATTATAATCATAAGAATTGGCTTGTAATTTAGTAACACAGCACAAGTCATATAGGTGATTTATAAATCAAACATTTTGTAAGTTTGAGATTTTTAAGATGATGGTTTCTTCAATCTCATGGTTCCTCATATCCATTTCCACCCCCATCAAACTGTCCTGATGCCCCTGCCCCCAACACCAATCTGAATAATGACAGGCCTGTTTAAAACAGCAGAGTCTAAAGTATGGACCAGTGTTTCAGAGCAGATGAGGATGAGCATGAAGTAAGTTTCACTGAGTAAATACTTAATTTACTAAGTATTTATTGGGTGTATGTGTCAGGGATATAACATTAATATAGCAATCAATGCCATAAAGATACCTTCTCTTGTTGGGCTTATTCATGTGGAGGACACCAGCAATTAACAAATAACATAAAACAGATTATGAAATTTTTTTAATACATAAAATGTAAAGGCAAAAGTGCTGCGGAAAAAAGAAAGAATAAAGTAAGGGGGATTGGGGATGATGTGGTGGGGGGGAGGTGATAGGAATTGATTTTTAAAATGCAGTGGTTAGTGTAATGACAGTGTGACATTTGAGTTGACTTGGAGAAGTTTGAGGGAGTACGTGTGTATGATGGAGAAGAGTGTTTCAGGCAAAGAGCCAGAACAAGGAATTAGGGCAGACTTGGTCGGTGTGTTTGAGGAGCAGCAAAGAGGCCAGTGTGGTTGGAACAAAGTGATCAAAGAGAGTTGAGAGTTGAGGTCTGGATGGTAAGAGTGGTGGGGCTGCTCATGTAGGGCTTTCCAGGCCATGTGAGGTCTTTGCTTCATATTCCAAGTGAAATAGAGAGGCTTTAGACGGTTTTGAATAGAGGAGTAACATGATCTGATTTGTATGTTGAAGGATCACTCTGGTCGCTGTGTTGCGAATAAACTAGGGGGGCAAGGGTAGAAGCTGGGACACTTGTTAGGAGCTTTTACAGTAATTAAGAAGTGATGTTGACTTGGATCTAGATGGTGCCATTGGAGGCGATGAAAGTGGTTGAATTCTAGGTCTGTTTTGAAGATTGAGTCCACGGGAGTTCCTGATGGATGTATTGTAGGAGTGGAAGAGAGACATCAAGAATAATTCTAAGATTTTTGATTAAGAATGGAGGAGCCATTAACTGAGATAGAAGCCTGTGGGTTTAGGGGGAAGGCCAAGAGTTCAGTTTCAGACAAGACTGAATTTGAGATGTCTGCTGACATCTAGATAGAGATGTGAGGTATGGAGTGGGATATGAGTCTAGTGTTAAGAGGAAGAGCTGAGGGGGAGGGTATAGCTTAGTGGTAGGGTGCATGCTTAGCATGTACGAAGTCCTGGGTTCAATCCTCTGTACCTCCGTTAAAAAATAAATAAGCCTTATTACTTTCCCCTTCAAAATGTAATAAAGTAAAAAAAAAAGATTTAAGAAAGAGAGAGTGCTGAGCTGGAGATAAAAAAATTGGGGAAGTTAATTGGCTAAGAGACTAGCAGAGATAGTAAGAGAGAGATATTAAGAGGCCTAGGAGAAGAAATGGACCCTGTAAAGGAGACTGAGGAGAAGGGAAACCAGGACTGTGAAGTCCTGGAAGCCAAGTGAAGGAGATATATTAGAGGGGAAAGAGTGATTGTCTTGTGCTGCTGATAGGTTAAGTAGAGTGAGCACTGAGATTTGGGTAGAAAAGTTTCATGTAAAATTATTCTTAACATAGTCTTTCAATGCAGGGCTTGTGTTATCTACATAAATACTGTTTATGTTAGATACATGTATGTATAGATGAAGGTTAATTCCTAACACTGAGCACTTACTATGTGGCAGGCTCTCCTCTAAGCATATTGTCATGAATTCATTTAATCTTCAGCATTCCTGTTAGGTGTTAATCCTCATTTTCACAGGAAGTGTTGGGACAGAGAAGTAACATATATGAGGTAAATTGTGGGACATAGGCTTAAATCTAGGCATGTGGGCTGCTGATCCTCTATCTTAAGACCTCTAAATTGTACTTTAAAAAAATATATATATACACACAAATATTCTAACCTTGTAGCTATGTAGCTATCTTAAATAGCTATAAATCTGAAGACTTAGGTCTACCAATATCCAAAGGAGGCAAAAACAATGAATACATTTAGCTGCTTCGGCCAAAAAAAGTCAGTTATGTTTTAGAGAGGGTATATACTATTTGTTTTTGCAAAATCACTGTTGTTAGGGAACTCCCCTCCCTGATTCTGGGTGGACCTGGTGAGATTGTCAGTCACCATGTCCCTTCCTCCTCTTTCATGGGGCTGGGCGTGTGATCTGGCTAGCCTGGTTCGCAGGTGGGTGTGTGTGTGTGGATAGAGTCCTTCCCAGAGATTTGATAGATCCTTTAGAGATACTGTGTCTATTCCTTTAGAGATAGTAAACTGTAAGAGTATGATCTTATGACTCCCAGCTGCCTTTTTTCTGGCCATGCCAAGAAAGCCTTCTTGAGACTAGAGATTATAAGAGGGAAAATAGAACTGAAAGTCATTTGAGTCTCAGCCTTACCTGCTTGTAGACCTGGCTGTTAGATGAACCAGTAAATTATCTTTTCTGTTTTAAACTAGATTTCTAGTGCTGGTAC